CTTGCCTTTATAAAGTTGTTCCCATAGTTTGTTATCCATTGTTCATTATGTGTACCTAAAAACATCGCCAAATTTTGCTGTCACTTCTATAGGAAATTCTTCCTGGCACTGACCTGCAATGTGCACCTCTCTACCTTTTACTGTTGGAGGGATGAGTTCCCCGCAACGTCAGGCACTTCTCATCTGACATTAAACCCAGAGTGAGTGGCCTTTATTCCTAACCCTTGTCCTGAGGTCAGGTCACAAAGACAAATTCTAACATACCAGCTGGAAGAAGAAACCCCTGGCAGACATGGGTTTCCCAGTCACTTCTGGGAAACAGGCAGGTCTTGCCCAGCATGAAACCGTGCTCCTCCAGAAACTGTTTCCAAGCAAATGGCTTCACTCCCGGTAATAACTACCTTAGTACTCATGTCTCAACGATTTCAATGATTGTCTGGCAAGCTAGTGAGGGTCCAAAACTCACTTCCGCCATTTGCTAGCCTGATGACCAGAATACATTACCTAACCCAACTCTAATGCTTTCTTCATCATCAAAATGGAACAACTGACAGTACTTGCCTCCTTCAACGTTATGAGGACCGAAAGAGCTAGCGACTGTGAAGGCCTTGGCGCAGTGCCTGAGAGAGCAAGTGCTTCATAAGCACGACTACCACTACTATTATTGCAACAGCTTCCTAACTGGTGTCCGCAGTCATCATCCTTTACCAACCCATCTTCTAAGGAACTTCTAAGATGCACTTTCTAAAATATTTCTAGACTGTGAAACATATTATAGAAAATTCTGAAAACACGAGAGCAGTCAGTCATAGTCTGACAACAGCTGCTGCTCTTCTGGTAGGGTGGTGGCGGCGTGTTTTGACTCTTTGTACTATTTGTGTTTGTTATTTTCACCTAAGTCTTTTTCCATGATTTATCACTTACAGAGGTAGTTTTGGCTTTTAATTCTTTGCTTAGCATTAGACACAAAGAGAATATAAGCTGGAGCAAATGACCAGCAGTGGTGGGAAACTCCACCTTTCCCCCACTGGCCACGGGGGTAGTTGCCACTGCGTGGCCTGCCCACCAGCTTTGCTTACCAGCTCATCATCAAAACAGCTTACCAGCTCCAAGCTAAGACTCGTCCCCTCTGGTGGGGGCTCTTCTGACGGGGGGCCAGGCACCCTGGGCTGCTACAGAACCTTAAGTCTTTCAACTTGCTTCTTGCGGCCCTTAAGAAGATGCTCACACCTGCCCCCATCTGAAGTGACCGCCTTCTGTCTTTGCTCCACCCCTGCCCCACGTTCACTGGTTTTCAAAACCTCACTCTAAACACAGCAGTTTCCTAAGTAAAACCTCTCCCTGCACCAACCAGCAGCTGTGTCACAGTGCCTACAGGGAGGCCGGGCTCCTGGGGCTTGACGGGCAACTAGCGCTGTTTTGTCTGTCTCCTCAGGCAAGTCACAGAGTCCTTCAGAGAAGAACCATTTCCTTTCACGTCTATCAATCTGGCAGTGCTGAGCCAGGTGAGCAATCTTGCTGAGTGAAGTTACCGGCTGACTTGCCTTCCTCTCTCACTTCCCCTGCCCTATGGCAAGCCTCAGGCTTGAACAGCCAACTCTTTATGGTACTTACTAAGTGCCAGGCACAGTTTTCACTGCTTCACACATGTTAATTTAATCCTCACAGCAGCCCTGCTGAGGGAGTACTTTTTATCATTTTCACTTTATGAACGAGGAAAGGATGGAATTAGAATTCAACTAAAACACCTATACTTTGACCAGACATGCTTTGACCATACTATACGACTGAATACAACAGTTAAACTATTATGGGTCAACTACAGCACCCAGGTAAGGGTATTTCCTACTGAGGTCCTAGACACACGCAGATGAGACAGGTAAACACAAAAAGAAGGGTGAAGGGGATGCTGTGCCCCTGGTTACAGGTAAACTGGGGCCTCAGTACCCCACCAGCCAGATCCACACAAGCCTCAGCCCTGAGCAGGAGCACGACTGGAACCCCCCTCTCTTTCTCCCCCACCCTGCTCTCTAGGAGATTCTTTATCAGTGACCACTGGGCCGAGCCCAGGAGCCCTGGGTAGCTGCAGTGGGCAAAGGCAGCCTGGCTCCTCACTGACTAGGACACAGCAGCCCAATAAATCACACAACTGACCAGATATTAGTGCACTGTAACAGTGAAGATCTGTTTGTGGATGATAAATCACAAGATTTCCACATGCTCATTGCCAGCATCAATGTGGTTTTCTGCCAGTGTCTGAAACGCACATCTTTCACGGACCATTCCACAAATGTAGCAGAAGCCAGAGCCTTGAGGAGCTTACCAATGCATCAGATACCCTCCTCAAGACAGCAGAATGCCCTGTGCATGGCCTGCATAGACCAGGTCCTGCCTTCATTACAGAAATGGACCCAGTTCCTCAGTGATCTTATCCACCCACAGCCTCAGTCACCACCAGGGTGCAAACTAGGCCCCAGCTTCTCAGAGTCTGCTCTCTAGTCTCAGCCTCTTCATCCAAACAGTACTCATCACCTCTCCTCCAGGTCTGTTCTCAGCAAACACCACCCCAAGGCAGAGGCCTAAGTCTTCCTCATCCCCATGTGCCTTTCTTCCTCAGGTCCTCAACGCACCCACTCAGTCCAGGCCCTTATTACTTCTGGCCTGGCTCATGACAACCCTTTCTTGCAGGCTTCTCCACCATCTCTCTTCCCAGCACATGCCAGGAAAGCCTTCAGAAGCAAGGGGTGAAGTCATGAGCTCACTATCACCCACAAGATCAAGTCAAACTCCTTCGTTGACTCCACAGGGTCTGGCCCTCACCTGTCTCCAAGCCACCTCTGTTCATCCCACATGCAGCCCTCTCCAGGGTCCCCTGCAGACCCAAGCAGTCCAGGCACCAAGGTGCCCTCTTCCCAGCTTGCCTTTCCATCTGGTATCTCTGCAGACACAAGCACCACACCACGTCCCCCAGGAAGGCCTCCACGATGCCTTCGCCTCACTCAGTGTGACAAGCCACCTGCCAATGGCAGGCCACACCCCACGTGGCATCACGAGCTATCTCCTCCAGTGTCTTCCCCACTGGCCTGTGAGCGCATGTGTGCTCCAGGCCTCAGTAAGGTGACTGGCACACGATGTCTGCACGAAGACAGAGCGCAGGAACCAAAGCCTGCCTCTGCCCTCCCGACACCCAGGCTGACTTACCGACACAATCGCAGGTGGGGAACTCGGCCTGGGCTCTCTTGGCAGGTGTGTCCAGCAGACTCTTGGTGGGTGTATCCAGGTACTTGAGAGGCGACTCCAGGAAGCCACTGAGTGTGGGTGTGAGTGGGTTCTCCGCCTTGGTGGGTGTGGCCTCCTGGCCTCCCTCTTCTGAATGGAAGCAGGTGGTTGAGAGCACGGTCACAGCCCCTGAAGACTCAATCTTGATTTGCTTAGGGGACCGGGTAGCAAAAGGGCTCTCAGGGGCTGGGAGACAAGCTGACTGGTTCTCAGAGTCCTGAATGGGCACAGATGGGGGGCCAGGAAGTCCAAAGCTGTCCCCAAATTCAGCCTCAAACTGTCGGATGAGCTCTTCCAACTTGTCGTCGGCAGGGGGGAGAGGGCCGGTGGAGCCTGGCTGCAGAGTTGCCATGGGGCTGGGGGGCCTCATTTCCTGAGTAGGGGGCAGCAGGCTGTCCCCAGAGGGACTAGGTGCAAATAGCGCAAGAGAAGGTTCTGCGGGCAGGGGAACAGCAGGGGTTTGTGAGGCGGTGGGGAGGGGAGCAGGTGGGTGTGCCTGTGGCTCCTCAGAGGCTGGAGGCCTCAGCCCCTCCAGGACGATCTGCCGCAGGGGCGGGAAGAGAGGCTGTGCTTCCCGCGGCCTGGACTTCTTGATCTGAATGGGCTTCCGGATGCCAGGCTTAACCCCAGGGGCGGCTTTCTCGGTTCCCAAGGGACCTCCAGCCGGCACCAGGGGTTTCTTCTTCTTCTCCTTGGGTGGTCTGTCCGGAGGCCGTGGGGCAGGTGAGCTGGATGGCGCCCACCAGCCAGGAGCAGGAGGGTCCGAGAGAGGGGGAAAGGCGGCGTCATGGGCCTGTTCCAGGAAGAGACTGCGCTTATGGTGGAGGTGCTGCTGCAGGGCAGTCTGGGCCTTCTGGTGGGTGCTGGGCTCCGGGGAGGGTGTGGGAGCCTCCCTCTGGAGAACACCGACGGGGGACGGGCATGGCGAGGAAGAGGGCGCCTCCACCTTGATCTTGGGCTTGGTGGGCAAGGCCTCTGGGCGCTTGAATACTGACTGGATGTAATCACTGGCACTGCCCAATAACTGCTCCAGTTCAGCCATGGGGTCAGGGCTTGGGCGGGGCACGGACCAAGAGCTCCGGGGAGTTGCTGGTGGGGTGTCTGTGCCCCAGGCTTCGGGAAACTCTGTTCTGGGAGCGGCTGGAGGGAAGGCAGGGCTCTCAGGAGCAAGGGAGGGGTGCTCTTCAGGGGGAACCACGGGCCAGGAGGGGGGCCGGAGGTAGGACTGGGGAGACCTAAAGGGGGCAGGCGGGGACAAGGCCTCGGGAAGGGGGCAAGAAGCCTGGGAGGTGGAGTGAGAAGGCTGGGGGAGGGCAGATGACAGCTGCGTGAGTGCCTCGATGGCGATGGCGGTCTGCAGGCTGATGTTCTTTTCCTTGGCGATACTCAGGGCACTCTGAGACAGGGGCAGGCCCTCTGGGGGAGGCATCTGGGGGACCTCGGCGCTGAGGAGAGGCCTGGGACTTGGTGCTGGGAGGCCAGCCTCCCCAGGAGGCAGAGTGGCTGGGAGCCGGGGCCGCTCCTGCCCTCCCTCCACAACCACAGACTTGATCTTCCCCTCCAGCCACTCGAGGTAGTCAGGGCACTCTGGGCCATCGCAGTTGCAGTTGGGTGGTTTCATGCCATGCCGTGCAAGGGCCAGGGCTGTCTGCAGTGTGTCAAGGTCTTCGCTGCCCGCAGGGCAGCCCTCAGGCCCTGGCCGGGGTCCCCTGCTGTTGTTTCCAGCCTCACGACTCATCTCACGATTGAAGGTTTCATAGAGCCGGGTGCTAAGGGCCCCATAAGAGGACACAGCTTCGGCCACAGCCGAAAAGGCCACCAGATCGTGGGCATCTTCCAGGCGAGCAGTGTGAGCTGGGCCTGGGGCAGCGTCCCAGTCGGGCTTCTGGTCTACTCGCCAAGGACCTCCAGCCCTCAGCAGACTGGGTCCGGCGGGTTCTCTAGCACCATTGACCGGCGCCCCTGAGGTGCTTAGCTGCCGTGAGTCCCCATGGTACACTGGCCCTGAGTCCATCTGACCTGGAACAGGTCCATCAACCGGGCTGAGCTCTGAGCCTGTCTGGAGAGAGACAGAGAGAGGGAAGGGGTCAGGGAGGGAGAGAGATTGGGGGAGGGGGAGGGAGAGGGAGAAGGTGAGCTATGATGTTTGCAAGTCTCTACCTTGCTTCTCACCACTCAGACACACACCTTCAACCTGCTTTTCTTGCACCTCTCTGTCTCTGACACCTCGTCCCAGATCTTCCCAGCCAGCTTCACCAGCAGAAATGGAAAGCAGAGGCCCTCCCTGGTGGCAAAACGGGTTAGGAAGTAGCACTGCAAACTAGCCACAGCTGCTTCAGTGGGAGTTCGATCCCCACCCCAGAGGTGACCCACATGGCACAGCAGACCTCTCCTGACCTGCCCTGGCCAGCAGTGTACTTCATTAATCTGCCTGTTCTGCTCCCTACTCTCTCTGGTGAATCCTCTACCTGTCCCCGTACCTCTGGCTTATACACCAGTTCTGTATGCATAAATAATAAATCTTTAAAAAAAGAAAGAAAGAAATGGAAAGTGGAGCTGTAAGAGCTCCTAAGGCAGAATGCTGAATGTTGCTAAGATTTTTTCTAGTCCCAGATCACTCATGCTGACAGGGCGCCCCAAAACCAAACATTTGTTAAAGACACACAACTGTGTGGATTTTCTTTTTGCCAAGAGGGGAAAAAATTAATCAGCCACATTTTGTAGCAAAGTGCCCTAAGTGGGAAGTGTGCCTGTGCAGGGAATGGGAACAAGACACTTGATTTCAGCCTAGATGAGGGATCGGCATTGCTTCTCAATGGGAAGAAACCCGTGGTTCTTTTTTCTGTCTGTCCTGTCCTCACTTAAGCCACAGCTGAGCTCAGAGAGCTGGCAAAAAGATGAAACATTTTCCCTTCCAGCCGCAGGCCTCAGGGAAACACTGATGACTTGACACAGCATGTATTCAGCCCCTTGCTGTGTTAATCATGACCATGAGCTGCTGCTTGGAAGAAGAGCCAGGCCTCTCCCCAAGTCCAAGAACCACCACCACACACCTAATGCCCAGCAAAACCCACAGGAGCGGGGCACAAAGTGAGGGAACCGGGCAGATCCATCCCAGCAAGTTATAAGTTTACCCCAAAATGTAATTCAGTTTGCGAAATTCATCCTCCCAGGAAAGAATGCTCTTCCTTACAGTAGTATGTCACTGAAAACATATAGGAGGAATGACAGATTTCCAAAAGTAATCAGTGGATGCCACAACTAACAGTGAAAGCCTGTAAGTCACAAGACAGACATTATCTCAAAACAATTAAAAATTACTTAATTATGGGCCCTCCCTGCTGGCACAGCGGGTTAAATTGCAGCACTGCAAGCCAGCCCCAGCTCCCCTCAGTGTGAGTTTGATCCCTAGCCCCAGAGGTGACCCACATGGCACAGCAGACCTCTCCTGGCCTGCCCGCTGCTCCCCACTCTGTCTCTGGTGAATCCTCTCACCACCCCTGCACCTCTGACCTGTACCCCAGTTCTGTATGCATAAATAAGTAAATCTTTAAAAAAAAATTACAACAGCGCATTTATAATGGAGAAATTTGAGAGAAACAGCCTTAATCAATTCATCAAAATTATCAGCAAGATTGGGACAAGCCATCATCATGTGCTTCTTGATCTCATACAGCAAGAAGAATATGTAACGTCACTCACATAAAATTTCAATCAAAATGTGCAACCTGATCCCATGCATTTTTAGTATCTACCAAAAAATGCAAACGCTAGTAAGATACCTATGTTTACTGCAGCACTGTTTATAACAGCAAAGTCACAGAAAGAACTGAAGTACCAATGACAAATGAATAGATTAAGAGATGTAGTATACTACACAATGGAATACTACTCAGCTATACAAAAGGTGAATCCTTACCAACTGTGACAGCACAAATGGAACTCAAGAGGGTTATGCTAAATGCAGCAAGTCAGGAGAAAGACAAATACCAGTGAGTTCCCGCCTATGTGGATGATAGAGAAGGTAAACAAAGGAAGAAAAAAACTAAATCAAAACAAATCCTAGATCTCTGATAGTAGACAGAAGCTGTCAGAGGGGGAGAAGGAGGGGACTCCGTGGGTTATGGTAGAGCACACAACGGCTTTGGTGGTGGTGTGGTGCTGTAGCGTACATCAGCATAGCACAGACACTATCAAAATAAAAGTTAAAAAAGAAATGAGTCCCTCAGGTAAACACAGTGTTTTAAGCACATGATCCCCTGACTGTTAACAGCTACCAGCCTGGAATCAGCCTCGACCGGCGCGGGCTCTGCCGCGTCCCTGTCGCTGCCCATGCCTGGCCACGCAGGCCCTCGTTCTTTCCAACAGGCTTTCCGAGGCACTGCACGCATGACCGTGCCCTGGAGTGCCCTCCCCAGGCGCCGGGAGAGGCTGCTCTGGCTTGACCTCCAAGCATCAGCTCAGCAGCCCCTCCTTCCTGACCTAGTTGGCAGAATCACTTGTGGCTCCTTCCCCTGGTTCCCAAGGCACCTTGGACATGCTTCTATCAGCACTTATCACGTGCCGTGCCGCTACTAGTATTTGTTCAAGCAGCGGCCTCCCCACCAGACAGCAGTTCCCTCCAGACACAGTGACGTCTACGGCTCCCACCCACACCGCTGCAGCCCCCCGTTCTCAGCCCCGGGAAGCGGTTCCTGTGCCCATTCCCACCCTTCGTAGAGCCTGGCAGATTCAGAGCTGCAATCTAAGAAACAACACCTTTCTTCTAAGAATGTGGGATTCCCTTCCTTCCTCTTAGAAACCTAAACTAGCATGTCCTCTTCCAAAATCTGAAGAGGTCAAATTTTACATGCGTATGTGTAAGAGAGAAGGAGCAATTGTAACAGGAAGACACAGGAGAGAGAAGTTCACATAACTGGATTTACAAAAACAATGGTCAGAAGGAATAATTTTGCACGAGCTGGGGCTTCTCAAAAATGGTCAAGACAACAAAAAGGAATTTCAAAAGTTATTTTTGATGCTTCCCTGGTGGTGCAAGGGGTTAAGTCTCAGTACTATGAAGCTCTGGGCAGCCACTGCAGCAAGGGTTTGACCCCTGGCCAGGGAGGTGACTCTTACGGCACAGCAGACCTCTCCTGGCCCGCCAGCTGCTCCCCTCAGCAGTGTACTTCATCCATCTGCCTGTTCTGCTCCCCACTCTGTCTCTGGGCCTCTCACTTCTACCTCCATTCCCCACACCTCTGGCCTACACCCCAGCTCTTGTATGTATAAATGAAACAAATCTTAAAACAAAAAAAGTTATTTTTGGTGTGTGAATAAGAATAAGGAAGGGCGAGGCAGACTCCTGTGCCCCTGAATTCCAAGAGAAGGAAAATGCTCTTTGGACCAAAGAGAAGAAATGGAAGAATAGAAACAGAAATGAGGTAAGTGAAGCCAGGATGGGTGGAGGAGATTTTAAGAAACTTTGAATTTCAGTTTTCCAGCTGGGAGATCCCACTGATAATTTCCTTAGCACCTGTGGGTGACCCTGGGGAATCCTTACAGGAGGAGGTACCAACAGACAAGGAAGGGTCAGAACCCCGAGGGCAGAGCACAGGACCACAGGGCGACTGCCTTCTGTGGCCCCTGCACGGGGGCACCAGAGCGCCCCCCCACCCCCACCGGCACAACCTCAGCGCGGCAGGCCAGAGCCACCACACATCCGCTTTGTTTGGCTATACAGTGTTAGCTTTTTGCTTGTTTTGCCAACATTAAAAAAATAAAATGTCATACGAAACCCAGATTTTCTTAAAGGTCGACACTTCCGCCTGGCAACTGAACATCAGTTCACCCCCAGCCTCACCACTCTGCACTGCCTTCTTGGAACCAAAGCCAGGAGCTAGGATTATTTATTAATTGCAGGAACTGACTGTCATTCTGTTCCTTTGTGTTACTTGTCAAGCACCTGTAGGCATTTGGGTTTGCAAGTTGGGCTATAAATGCTCAAGTTTCACAAGATCCATCACCATCCCTTTGAGGGTCAGCTACAGAGAACTACGAGCAGGACAGACTGGCTCACCACTGGCTGAATGACCACGCTCACCAGGGACTAGCGCCAAGCCAACTTGGGAAAGGGGTTTCAGCGGTCTGCCACGGGGCTGTCCCACAGATTTATAATATGAATAGCAGAGCACAATTAGTAGAGTAGGCAGATGCTGGAAACAGGCGGGGTAAAGCTGGGACCAGGTGCCAAAAGGTAAACAGATTAGGGAGAGGGAAAAAAATCCAACAGAGTGAGGAGGGTCCTATGTTGGGGTCCCCAAACCACAGCAGTGTGGTTTAAACAGGAGCAGTGGTGTGCCCAAAAAGTCTTTTGGAATGAGAAGAGATTAAAAAAAAAAAACTGTTGGTGTACTTGATCTGACAGTTTCAAAGACTCTTATAACCCAGAATTTTGTCAAACTTCTTCACTGCAATCCACAGTAAGAAATAAATTTACACTGTTATCCATTATGTACTTACATACATGGCAAGTTTGCAAAATAAGCAATGTTCCCTGTCTCTGTACACAAATCCCTTCCTTCCTTCCCTCATCACTACAGGCTGCAACCATGTAAGTTGACTTCCTGGTGCCTGGCCTGCTCTGCTTAGACAGTCCCCACCTGAGCACTGGCTTCCCTTTGGGACAGTACCTTAGGGGGCAGGGTGGGGGCACAAAGAGAGCAAAACCTGAGGGGATCTGCCCCTTTGTTTCTGAAGAAGACAAAAACTCAGGTCTTGAAACATGGAAGCTCCACTATCGAAGCAGGCAACTAGATTCACTCCAGTGGCTCTCAGAGGGTGGGATAGAACTTAGGCTTAATTTAGGGAAGTTTCTTAACAGGCAGTTTAAAAAAAAAGCCCCATCTCTGACAACCAAAAGGTATGTAAAGAAAAGTGCATTTATACATTTATTTGACTGTTATTGGCAGGGAGGCAGGACAATGCTGGAGGAGGATGGAGGGGCTACTTTAAGCCCTTTCAAAAACCAGCTCAGACACCACCACCTCTGCTCAGTTCTCCTTGCCCTCTGGGCTCCAG